CTAGTTTAGAATAAACACAATGAATTAAAAGAGTCACTTCAAACTATAATACATACCTATATTGAAAAATAGAAGAAAAAAATGCAAAATGTAGTAGAAAAACATGCCTGTTAATACATGAAAACATTTTAACACTATCGACAATCAGTTAAATTACCTGGGATTTACATATACAAAATTACCACTTACTCAGATATTATGAAATCTAAGACTGTGGAAAAAGAAACAATTAATTAATTATATTTATCTACTACTCTTCAATACCTTCTAAGATGGTGAACCAGCCTACACGTGTTTCGTGCGCTCTGTGCAATACTAACATTGACGATGTGAAAACAGTGATTACATGTACCATCTGCAGTAAGAACTTCCACTCTAGCTGTGTAAATGTTGACCTTCGAGGTTTCCACATGAAGAAAAATTGGGTATGCAGAAGACCCCTATGTATTAAACCGACGCCTCAGTTGAAAACTACAACTGGTGAGATAGAAACAGAGACTTTTTGGGACGCGGCCGAAAATATTTTGGATGCTAAAGTGTTCCAATATATCTTGAAGCAAAAAGACGAGTTGATTCATGAATTAAAGGGTAAAATCCATCTATTAGAAAAGCATGTCGAACTACTACATGAAAAAGCTGGTGAGAAAAGTTTGGGTAAAAAATCCGATATCTCCAATGTTGAAGGTGAAGCGCCATTAGAGATAACCCAAAACACGAAGCCAAGAAAAAACAGCAAACAACCAACAGCTGATGTAAATAAACAAAGTCCAAGTCCGACTTCACCTAAGACGTTTCTCGAGGAAAGCGGTAAGCCCGAAAATAGAAAAAACCAGTGTGACTCATTACAGACAAGTATGGTTAATAACAGAAAGAGAGAAGCTTCAACGACATTAGCGAAGACCAATATTGTTAATAAACAACCGATCGTTGGTAAAAGAAGCGATTCTGTGACGATAAGGGCATCGCCAGCCAAAGCCTATCTATACATCAGAAGACTTGCCAAGAGTACAACCGCGCCGATCTGAAAGGATACTTGGTGGAAGACTTCCCAGAAGTTGTCTGTGAACCTCTGGAGAACTATGAAGCGTCTCACTCAAGATTCAAGGTTACTGTTAATTTTGATAATCTCGAAAAGATCTACAATCCGGATTACTGGCCAAATGGAGTCCTAATCTCAAGGTTTTTTCATCCCAGAAGTCCAAAAATTCAACAGAAATAACATCAGGCCAGCATTACAAGACGGATCTGCCTAAAACCAGCCTTGAAAACTCTCACGATGACAACATGTTTCGAAGCATTACCTTAAAAATTGCTAACCAAAATATTCAAAGTCTGGGGAACAAAGCTGTACGCCTAGAGTATCATCATCAAAGTACCGATGTATTAGTCATAACAGAACATTGGATGGACGAGCAAAGATTCTTAAATTTCAAATTGGGTAATTTTTTGTTAGGTAGCTATTTCTGTTGGAATAAATCAGTAGATCATGGAGGAGTAGCTATATTTGTTCGTGAAAAAAATTGTTAAATATAAGGAACTTATGTTTCTGAAAAATATTTCGGTTATCAATGTGATAGAGTGTTGTGCCGTAGAAATTCCAAATTATCATTTAATCATTGTGGGTATTTACAGACCTCCTGGAACAAACCTTCAGAATTTAAACATCTTTTTTGATAAAATAAGTTGGATACTGTCACACCTCTCTAAATTTAAAGACAGACATATAGTAATCACTGGTGATTTTAATATTCATTTCAATGATAGCAATAACAAGGAAACAAAAAAATTACATGATATCTTAACTGTGTACAATATGACCCCCTGTCTACTGCATCGACAAGAGTGACCCCCTCCAGTAGTTCATGTCTGGATAACATCTGTGTGAGTATTCAGGATGTCCATAATTGTCACTTTTCAGTATTTAACGACTTCGTATCTGACCATTCTGGTCAGATGTTGCTACTTCACATTGTTGAAAATATATGAAAAGCCAAAGTGGACCTCACTCAAAGGCGGATTTTCTCTAACGACAATATTACTTATTTTCGTAAACTTTTATCAACTGAAAAGTGGGATACTGTCTTAAAGGAAGAGGATGTGAATGTAAGTTTCAATCGGTTATGCAATATTTTAAGCAATGCATTTTCAACTGCTTTTCCTTTAAAAACTATCAAATCTAATTCAATTAAAAATAAACAAGATCTGTGGGTGACGGATGAAATAATTAGAATGAAAAATCGTGTGGCACTATATGCAAATCTATCCATGAAGTATCCTACCTTTAAACCGATTTTTTCATTGCTTAACAGTCAATATCAAGATATGTTAGTAGCAAGGAGGAATGCCTATAATGATAATCTGATTATGACTGCAAACAATAAAAGCAAGGCCACTTGGAGAATTATAAATAAAATAACGAATAAAAGTTTTAAGGACTCTAATATTGAAATTTTTGAAAATGGTGTGACTTGTTCTGTTAAGGAAAGTGCCGAAAAACTTAATAATTTCTTTGCTAGTGTGGCGCACAATTGTACTGCCAATTTACCGAATACCATAGATATTGACTTTGTCAGAAGTAGCATTCCTCCAAATTTAGATAGTTTTTTTTTTGCGGCAGTAACGAATAGTGATATTGGTAGTGCAATAAATAAATTGAAATCTTCAATGTCAGCCGGTGAAGATGGCATCTGCAATAATTTATTGAAGGCGGTGTCGGAATTTATAACTACCCCATTAACTTATATTTTTACCTTGTCCTTCTTAAAGGGCATCTATCCTGATTCGTTAAAGAATGCTCTAATTATTCCTCTTTTTAAGAAGGGTGACCGTAATGCAGTGGAAAACTATCTCCCTATCAGTCTCCTGCCATGCATTGGCAAAATTCTTGAAATCATTGTAAATGATAGACTCCCAGGCTTTTTAGAAAAATATAATCTCTTGCACAATTGCCAGCATGGATTCAGAAAAAGCTTTAGTACTGACACTGCACTCAGCCAATTCATTCACAACATTCAGTTATCACTTGATAGAAATTTAACAACCATGGGTTTGTATGTGGAATTCACTAAAGCCTTCGATTGTGTGAACCATCAAATACTAATTGAAAAACTTCATAGATATGGAATTCGTAAGGTTGCTCTAGATTGGTGTACCTCTTACTTATCCAATCGTTCGCAAAAAGTGCAGTTACATAATGCCACCTTCTCCCAGTGTAGATTGCGGAGTGCCTCAAGGGTCGATCCTTGGGCCTACTTTGTTTATTATCTATGCTAATGACCTTCATTTGTATTTACAAAAGTTTCCTAATGTTTTGCAAATCTATTATGCTGATGATTCAAATTTTTTGATAACTGGTAACAATCTACAAGAAGTTGGTTCTATTTCAACCGGACTATTGCAAAGCATAAATTTATGGTGTAACAAAAATAGGCTTGTGATTAATAATGACAAAACAACGCACATGTTATTTCTGAAAAGGTATAGTAGTTTTGAAAACTCTCTTAATATCTCATTGTCTAATTCTAGTAAACTACTGGGAGTTGTAGTTGACAACACATTGTCGTGGACGTCACATATTGACTATATTTGTGATAAACTAACGAAGGTTTGTTATATGCTTAAAAGTGCTTCGCATTACTGTAGTAGGGATATCCTGATAATTCTATACTTTGGTCACTTCCACTCGATACTTGCCTATGGCATTGAGAATTGGTACAGATCATCTCAATTTGAAATTAATCGGGTGTTTAAAATACAAAAATGGGCAATCCGTACCATCGCAGGTCTGAAAAGATTGAATTCTTGCAGACCATTCTTTAAGATTTACAATATCCTTACTGTTGCTAATATTTACATATGCAAGGTATTATGTTTTGCCTTTAAATATAGAGGAAAATTTCAAACCTGTGCTACTCATACATATTTTACCAGAAACAGGGAATGTCTTCTACCTGCGAAACATGTTACGTCAAAATACCAAAGAAGTTTATTCTTTAATTCCTGTAAACTTTATAATAACCTGCCGAACGATATAAAAAAATAGACAATTTTTTTACATTCAAGAAAACTATTAAATGATATTTATTAGAAAAAAATTGTTATGCTGTTAACGAATATTTTAATTGATATGTGTCTGTTTTTAATTTTTAATTTGTTTTGCACCTAATTATTTATGTAATGTAATCGATTACTTTGCCATGACGTGCAAAAATGTAGACATGTTGTATATGTTTTTATGAAATATATTATTATTATTATTATTACTATTAATAATAATATAGTCCTTATACCCGTAACTACAGGGATACAATTATGCTCATAAAACACTCGTGTTTTATGGATTTTATTCATATCATTGTTTTGTTGGTTGCCTACCTATGTTGTAGTTGTATCCTCAGCTCAGTTTGCAATCTGTGGAGGTGTGCATCGCTTTCCATTGAAAAACACAAAGAAAAACACTAAATTACGTACAACAACCAACATTTCTTGATTTTGGAAAGCAATAAATGTAGATATCGATGCACAACAATTTTTCGGATATTGTAATATTGGTTGCCTATTTATGCAGCGTGAAGAATATTTAAACATCGCCTCCCTTAGTGGAGTCCACCTCCAGATCTTTTTGAAGAGTGTTAGATTCGTAGATAAAACGTCGTATTCGACTCGAACATAATGGGTTGAGGTTAGAATCAAATAGTCAAAAAACGAACTCGGACCGCAAGTAGACAAATAATAATAACTTCTTTTACAGTACTCATGAAGTTTATTCAGGAAGGCAAACTATTTAAATGAATATGATTTTGTTATTAATAAATTTAAAATAATATATGATTTTGAACTGTGGTATTTTAGAAGATACTATATTCTTGGCTTTATTCATTTTACTTTGTAAAAATTTTATTAAATAATGTTAAATATAACGTCGCCACTATTTATTAATCCCTATTTTTATATTTTTTGCCACTTGCCCAAAATGATGTTCGCATGAAAATAAAAATCCGTTATCGGTCGTGATTCTTTATTAATTTTATACGCGTGTATACAATGATTACTATTATTTTTATAATTGCAATATTATTAGAAGTAAATCCAAAACAAGGTAGCCGGGCGCAATACAATCGACACACTAATCCTGGCCCATGTAATATGAACAGATAACAACAGTATTTCTATTAACATGTTCTAAATACTTATTGTCTATAATATTTGCCGTCAAATATCTTTCGATATAAAGATTGGGAAAAGTTTCCTTTCCTCCATCTACATAGCACTGACTATTTGCCATTTCTAAAAGTCTGTTTACAGTTACGTGTTTCAAAATTTCGTCATTTTCTTCGAACGCAGTCACCAAATTGAGTGGTTCTTTTCCTTGTAAAGAAATGGTAAATTTCTGCATTATTTCGTCATACAATTGGCCTTTTGATTTCAAATCGGACAAGTTTTCAAACACTGAAAGTTCTTCCATCCATTGTCCACGATTTCCCTCACCAAGTATGATAAATTTTGCATCTGGACAGAGTTCAATAGCTTTCTCCATATTTTCGTGTTCTTTTACAATTAGGGGACATTTGTCCATCAACCACAGCAACTGTGTCAACAAAATTGGATCCAGATTTTGGACACTATTTATATAATCAATAGAAAGCGAATAAAGTGATCGAACTTTGTTTAGCTCTTTGAGGTCAACATTCTTGTCCAAGTCGCCCCACAACTTTTTAACTTCGTTGTTGCCTTCTTTTTCCAATAACGTAATGTCAAACGAACAAATAGCCTCTCGAAGAATTTTCATTTCGTCTGTGACGGAATCAAAAACAAAATGTTCGATATGAGAAGAAAGTAGAAGAAGTGCGATTGCACGTTGTATAATTTTTTTGCTTAATTTTTCTTTCTTTCCTTCTTTGAAACTCCACTCCGAAATGACCTCGACGTATTTCTTGAAGGTTTCTTCGCTAGAACAAAACATCTCAGTAAATCTACTCATGGTTGATTTTGTAAGAGGTTCAAAACGTTCTTGGTTTGTGTAAAGACGAAAGTTTTCGAAGAAAATTCGATACTGCTGAATTTTTTCAGGATTTTGTTTAGTCTGTTCGTCCTCTAGAATTTGAAATTGATAATAATAATCTATATTTTTTGAAATTCTTAAAACGTCGAAATTATCTTCTGAAACCGTCTTTTTAATCGCCTTCAGGGAAAAGTTTTCTTCATCTAGTTTAAATTTTGTTTTCTCTGAAATTGTGGAAGTGTTTGTGGTGAATAATATGAAAGTTTGCATTTCGCCTTGAACCTCTTGAGCAGAGTTGAAATATTTAATTAAACTAAAGTCTCCACTTTTGTCTGTCAGCTGCTTTGTGATTAATTGTCTTTTATCATTACTGTGTTTTAATTGTAGTGCTTTTGTTTTTATTCCGTTATCTGTCTCAATTTCAATAACCACGTCATCAAAATCACCAAACTTTTCATTGTTCGATGAAATGCGGAAGTCTTTAATTTTACAGTTGCTTATCATTTGCAGTGCGACGCTAGCGGTGATCAAATCTTCGTATTTGTTACCCTTATTCGTGGTTCCTTTTCGTTTTTCAAAAGTCTGAAATACAATCAACAACGTGAAAAAATGTTTATATAGATTTTTTTCTTTTTATTTTGTATATTTTTTTTAACATGATTCGTTAAAATTTGAACTCTACCGTTAGGAAGACCCAACTGATTATTTCATGTTGAAGAAATCTGCATTAAAGTGTTTTTTATCATAAACGGATTTACCTCTTCGGTATTTTCCATAATGCGTTGATTATCTGAATTGATTGTTTGAAGTATCTTGTGTTCGTACTAGATCTGTCTGCTAAAAAAATAATTGATGAAAGTTATTTTTTTACTCGCAAAAAATTGATTATACTTTTCTCAGGTTTTTGATTTTTTTCTCATAACTTTAACATTTATGGCGCTATCATTTGAAAACATTTATGTCTTTTTAAAACCGATCTACCAATCTACTAATAAAATTACACCGTTCTACTTACTCCTAATGGGCTACGATAGCTATCTTTTTAATAATTTAATTTTCAACTTACCCCACAGCAATGTTAAATATTTTTGAAACATGTAGGTAATCACCAAAAACTTTTATAAAATATGCTACAATTATACGGAATTACTTTATGAATATTACTATGAACTTAACAGTCATGCGTATTGTTGAATCTCTGAAAATATGGTACTTTAAAGGTGTGGTGCGTAAATCTGATAAGAGTAAATGCTGCTGTTATCGAGACCTTCGAGATATGAAAAATCCACAAAAATTTCGTTTTACGATAACACTTGGCTGTGCTTTTTGCATACTATTCGATAAGTAACTAATTTTAGTCTTCTGTTTTGAGGAGACAACTCATTCAAATTAAACAAATTTCTACGTGACATTCTTTCGATGTAAGTATATATAAACATAAACAATCAAAGTTAAGCGTATACACTGACAATAATACACTCTTTTCCGTTGGTTATTTGCTTTGAACACAATTCATATTGTCTGTATATCTGCGGACGGCACCTCCTTAGAATTTGTTGGATTGTACTTTAAGGGCAAGGGAAGTTCTGTCGAAGTAATCCTGGACTAATTTTCTTTTTGAGGCATCTTGTGTGAGTAATTTTAAAAAGTATGCGTCCATTATGCGTAAACCAAAGTATAAAGTCATAATATTTTGCAAATTTTAAATAAAATTTATTCCGAAAAATTTGAGATGATGTCATCACTTATGTTTAAATGAACAACAAAAATTAAGTTGATTATTAATTAAATTATGAAGATTGGAAATAGGAACAAAAGAGCAGAAGCAGATAATTGTAAAGGTGACAAAATTTTCAGAAGAGAAAGCCAAAGTAGAGAGTAAAGTTAAAAGCGCGTACAAAATTGCAGAGAAAGTTTACGTAGTGGAATTCGAAAATAGAGAAGAAAAATAAATGTAATGAAAAGCAAGAAGAACTTAAAAGGGTCGTAATTTTACATAAATGATGATCTGACGAAAACGGAAAGAAAAATTCAAATCAAAATAAAAGAAGAGGCAACAAAAGAGAGAAATAAAGGAAAAATGGTTAGAATGGGAAATAAAAAGTAAACTGTAGATGGCAGAAATTTTGAATGGAGTGAAGAAGAGGGTAGACTCAAGAAGGTAGAAAAATTTTAGTAAAGAGCCAAAAGGAAAGGAAGAAAAGGAGAAAAAATGGTAGGAAACACGGGAAAGGAAAAGGAAAGGGAATAAAGGATGCAGATAGGGAAATCGGAAAAAGGGAGACAGGTACAAAATTAGGAATAAAAGGGGTGAAGGTACTGTTTTGGAATGTCCAAGGGTTGCGAAAAAAGGAAAAGGAGTTCTGGGACCACGTGGGAAAATTTGATGTGGTGAGGCTAGTAGAGACATGAGTACAAAGAGAAAACTGGGAGACATTTGAAAGACCACTACCACAATAATATGTGAATAATACAGCTGGATAACAATCGATGGGAAATAATAACCGTTTATAGCAAGAAAATGGAGGCAACCAAGATAAACATAGAAAAGGAGGGGCTTGGGGAGAATCAATTATAGACTATGGGATTGTCAACGAAGAGGCGTGGGAAGAAATAGAGAGTTTCAAAGTGGGAGAAAGGGTAGAATCGGACCACATGCCACTAGAAATAAAAATCAAAGGAAAAGAGCAAGAGTACGAAAAGCAAGAGAGAAGAAACGAAAGAAAAGAAATAGAAAAACGAATATGGGATGAAGAGGGAATTCAAAGATACAGAAGTAGACTAGAAAAAAGAAATTCGAAGTGAAAGAAGATATAGAATCTATGATAGCAGAACTGATCGAGTTAATTGTAGAAGCTACGGAAAAAAGAAAGATATACATATGGCAAGGGAGGAATAATGAATGGAACGGAAAATGTGGTGAGTTGAAGAGAAAAGTAAGGAAAAAATTAAGAAAATGGAAAAATATAAGGTTAAAAACAAGAGAGAATTGTAGGAGAAAATGTGAAGAAAGGAAAAGAGAAAAACGAGAAAAAGAAGAGAAGACAATAAAGTCCCTGAAAACAGAAGAAGAAGTATGGAGATATATAAACAAGGAACGGAGAAGGAAGACTGAAGCCAGTAGGAAAATCAAAATACATGAATGGAAGACAATTTATGGAATTATTGATAAGTGGTGAGGAAAAATGCTGCAAAATAAATAAAGGAATCACAACGACGGAAGAAATGTGGAGAGGTTCAGAAATAACAGAAGACACATGAAATAGGAAGACACATTGAAAGACTGAAAAGAGGAAAGGCACCTGGAGGGGATGGAATCCAGAACGAAGCGTGGATGTTCGGGACATAAGGAGTGAAAGAAAGGATATGGGAAGTGGTAGATGGAGTTTGGAAGGGAAAAGGGTTTCCTCGGCAGTGGAGAGAAGGTATAATAATTCCATTATTTAAAAAAGGGCAAAAAAGTTATACAAACAGAGGAGTGAGACAGGGATGCCCACTCAGCCCCGCGTTGTTTGTAGCTTATCTAGGAGATATATATGAAATGAAAAAGAAAGGAATTGGAAGTGAATGTGGAAAAAACAAAAATGGTGGTGTTTGGGAAGAAAGTAAGAAAGAAGAAGGAAGAGTGGGCACGGAGAGGGAAGAAGATTGAACAGGTGAAAGAATTGCAGTACTTAGGATATACATTAAAGAGCAATAACTCAGATATAGCGCACATTCAAGAAATGGTCCTAAAAGCGAACAAAATGATAGCAATAGTATGTATTGTGGAATAGGAGAGAGAAAATTTAGACATGATTATATGAGAAGAATTGTGATGTTTGATTGTTTGATCAAAAGTGTATTTATGTACGGAGCTGAGATCTGAGGATGGGGGGAATATGAAGAAAAAGGGACAGTGCAAGAAAAATACATAAAATGGACATTGAGATTGGAAAAGTATACGCCGGGGTATATAGTGAGAGAAGAAACAAAAAGGGAGAAAATGAGAATGGAAGCGGATAAAAGGGCGGTTGGATTTGAAGAGAAGTTCAGTGAGAGAGGTGATTGTAAAATATTGCAAGAATGTTGGAAAGGAATAAGAAGGGAAGGGAGAAAACATTTTTGGAACGAAAGAGACAAGTTTTATGAAGGAAAGAGATATGCATGTGAAGAAACAGAGAGAATGAGACAAAATAGGAAGGAGTATGAAAGAAGAACTGAGTGTAAGAGATAAGGATATAAATAAGCAAGAACGCAGATTGAGAATATCGGAGTCTAGATATAATGCAGAGTATAGAAAAATAGTAAAGGATGAAGTACCAAAGGACACAGATAAAGATAGTATAAAGTAGAAAAGAATGATGGCGAGATTTAGGTGTGGAAATGAAGAGAAAGAGAATAATTTTTGGATGAATGAAGCTAACAGAAGGTGTAGGATATGTTGGAGAAAGGGAGAGAAAGGGGTGGCAAGCAGAAAGAATAGAACAATTATTATTATTAGATAAAACTCGAATATTTATTTTATTTATTTATTTATTTATTGATTTAAGTATTTGTATTATGTAGATTAAGTTAATTTGTACCCTTATTGGGAATCTTATTAAGCCTGTAAGGCAAATAATAATTTAATACTACTGTTAATTACATTATGAGTGAAGCCAAAATTTGTATTCCTTTAGTTTTTTCTGCAAAATGATAATTAAAAAACAATCTTCACAAAATCTCATTCGTACCACGGACATATTGCAAAACATTAATAGGTAGTTTATAAACTGATATAAACATTTTCGCTCAAATGCCGGTAAATAATACACGGTAATCAAATCATAAAATATTGTCGTTACTGGTTACCCCAGTAACATTTTATATATAATAAATATTGAAGTTCTAACATTTAAATAATATGGGTAACGACAGATTTTTTTTTAGAAAATCAATATTGGTTTTAAATATTGAATAGGTATATATTTATTTTCAATGTTTAATACTTATTTAGTTCAGAACATTTAATAAATGTTCTTCATATGAAAGGGGGTATGGATATAAAAAAACTGGTATGCAATACAATATAAAATTTATTAAACACAAAAATACATTGTCACTGGAAATAACAGTGTATTTGAAACGTTGCGGCAATATTTATACATTTAAAAATTATTTGTTCTAGAACCAATTCGTTGAAAATTTGTACCAGGTGATTTTTTTTTAATTTCTGCTTTAGTTATCCATGACACTTATGTCAGCAGTGAAACTGAAACTGCTGACATAAGCTTCATGGGCAACCAGAGCATAAATTTAAAAAATCACCTGATGTGAAACACAATATAAATTTTTTAAACATAAAAATACACTGCCAACTTACAATGAAATAAAAATACATTGTCAATGGAATTAACAATGTTCTGCTACATTTCAATCGTTATACAGAAATATTTATTTAATCATTATTTGCTCTATAACCAATTCATTGAAAAGCGATTTAATTAATTAAAATAAAAAAAAAAACATACCTCATGTTTTTTTGGATGAGAATTCATTCTTGCTTTTGTCTGCGCTTAATGAGGTCCTACCATTTTTTAAATTTCAGTAGTTTTCCGTGTGGTACCTACAATTAAATTATCTTACAAAGTTCGTAATTTTTAAGAAATCACATAACTTAACGTATTGTAGCCTTGTTAATTGTGAGTTCACTAAAAGATTTTTTCTATTTTTTTCCTGGGCCTGAAAACTTGAAAGCAATTTGGTTCATTATTAATAATTTCTTCAAAATTGCATAACATATTTTTTACGTCTTCTCTTCCTGACAAATAAACATTAAAATCAGTCTGAAACTAGTTTATAAATACTAGGAGTTAATAATAATAATAATAATAAATGCTTACCAATTCATCCAATTTCTGCGTATCTCCCGCAATTTCTAACTCGATTTCTTCTTTTTTTTTGGTTGCGCCCGGACATTCATCATTTTGACTCTATATTCATAATATGCTTATATTCAGAAATATTAAACCTCTTAAATACACTTACGTGTTGAGAAATTGCATTTTCTGCATTGCATGTAGAAGTGAGGTTATGTAGGTTTAGTGCTGTTTTCTTGACAAAATGGTATTTACTACACTATTCTGAATTTATCGCAGTACCGATAATCACAATTTACAATAGGACAAACACCATGAACTAACACAAAATACTTTTTGAACCGCCAACAATAACAGAAAATATGTATATGTTGCACATTGCGCAAACGCGTTCCAGCAGAGCAAGCGCATCTGTAGGTGAAACGCAAATTTAAGTAAGTTTTATAAAAATGATGAATAAAATTGTTATTTTTTGTTCGCAAAAATAAAAAAAATATTACTTTTTAATGAGCAATTAATAGTGTGCAAAGCGAGATTTCGAATAGTGTCAATTTTACAATAGCTGCTATTTTTTCAAATCAATTTTTAATATTGCTCCAATAAAAACCCTATGAAATAAATTACCTACAAGTTGTCCCAACATGGTACTTTTTTTTCATTTTTGTTGTTCGGTATCTTGATAAAAAGACATTTCATAAATATGTAATATATGTTGAAATTCATATATATAAGACTCAACATTTTCAAAACAGATATTTTATTAAAATCAATTCGGACAGCTCAGTTTACGAGTACTTCTCTTGGCGATAGCTGCGAATCGAATGACTCCCCTCGTGGACCATAACCACAGTGGAGTACCATGACGTCATTGTTTATTTGGAACTGTATCCAGTGCTGGTCG